GGCTGAATGTTGAGCTACCTGTTCATGGTGATGGGGGTTATAGTTAACTTGAAGAAGTTTATTGGTTAAAACAACTCTGGTCTGTTTATTAAGGTTAGGAGTCTCACTTACTTGCTTGATTTCTATATGGGACAGGCATGTAGGAAAGTACAGAGCCAGTCAGTCTACTCCCATGATCCCGCTCCTGCTGATTATTTTGAAATGTGGACAAACAGTACCTTTGAAACGTGCTCACTTTCAAGGGTATCGTTAGCACCTCCACAGCCTGCCAGCTTCCCTGAAGCTGGCTGCAGGCTTGGACCTTGTCATAGATGATGTAAAGTGCATTAAAAATAAGTACTTCTCTCTCAGCGCTGACTGGGAAACAAAAGGCTTCTTCCGCTTCTGGTCAGCGTGCAGATCACAAGCGTGCTGGGAGACGGTGGCAGTTTCTCCTGACGTCAAGGGAGGGCCGTTGCCAGCAGCTCATTACACACGCATTGCCTCGGTAATGCACCTTCTGCCTGTTGCTATAGCAACGCCCTGGAAAATTACCTCAGCAGCCACTAAAATTCATTTTTACAAAACTAATTACAGGTATAATTAACTTTTTAAACTTGGTCTGTACTATAAATTTACTCAGACCTATGTGGTTTGGCTTTTTTTTTTTTAAATAAAGTAATTTTTTGCAATTTTGCCTTTTTTGTTCCTTTGTATAATGCCTAGCTGAGTAGGTCCTGTTTGGATGAGAGGCCATGTAGCCTCATCAAAGTAAGATGTTTCTTAGCAGGTGGTAAAAATAAACTCAGAGTGCCGTATAGTTGAGACCTAAATGGCTTGCACAGTTGCTGCTACCTGTACAACTGAATTCCCTGTGGTAATGCTGGTGGTTACCCACTTTTGGACTAGCCCTCAGAATAGCTGCCTGGGTATTTCCAATATCCTTATCGTTATTATGATTTTAAATTTTGAAGTTAATAAACTGAGGAAACATCTGGTTTGGGCAATTGTTGGCAACACTCTTTTTGTGGAAGTTCATGTTTATGACAAGTCTTGTGGTTTGTTTGCAAGAGTGCATGTGTAGCTGTTTCTAGTATACGCTGAAGAGTTAGTTGCATTGCAAAGGCTGATTGCAGTATTTGTGCGTAAGTTTTGAGTTAGGCTCATATCCTAAAATACCTTGTGCGTATCTCTTACGTGCTTAAATTTTTTGTACGTGCACAGGAGGATTTGTTTGCCCAGGTGAGCAATATATTTGTCAGTACTTTGTTTAGGGCTGCATTAGATAAGTGCTTTAAAGCCATGGTGAATTGGTTTTCAAATAAGCAGATATACAAAAAAGTTAATAAAAATCTTCATTTTCTTTCACTCCTCACCCATCTGAATTCAGAGACTTGAGACATTTCACATAGCCCTGGCTTCATAAGTCCTCTTCTGGTTGCAGATAAGCCAGTGGAGGAAGTAACTCCACCCTGCTTTCCTGCTGGAGCTTATGGACTTCAGGCTGTATCCATCAAATAAACTAGCTTAATTTGGACAGTTTCAGTAGTGTTTCTTCACTATTCCAAATCATTTTGACAGAAATGTGTTACGAAGCCATTGCTCAAGCGAAGGAGCTGGCAGCTGGGGATGGGCAGAGGTGCTGCTGGAGTGCTGCTGGGGGCTTGAGCCAGCACAGTTGAAGGTGGAAAAGAATTGGCATTAGCTAGCACATTTTTATGTTTTTATTTAAAGTTGCTGCTTGCTAAATTAATTTAAAAATAAATAAACTGTTTGTTTAGTAAGCTGTAGGATGCTTAAAGCCATGTGCTGCTTAAAGCAGTGCTGCATTCCCCTGGTGATCAAAGAATTTCTTTAAACACCAGCTTTTGTGTGGGGAAAAAAAAGAAAGACCCTGATGTCAATCCCAATGATACATGTTTTTACCCAAAGATAATAGATTTTTTAAATTAATTGTGTTACTTTGTTTTAGAGATTACATGAATTTTAAGAGAGACTTAAGGAGTTCTTAGTGATTTTAGAGTATCTTGAAGGGAACTTTGTGTCGCTGCTGCAGGCAAAGCTTTCAGTGTGATTTTCAGAAACATGTTTAATCCCCTTGAAGTTGATAGCGGACTGTGAAGTTACATATCCTCATGCAGTAAAAGGAAATGTAACTGATCTGCAGAACTCTTAAAGTCAGTAGCAGAAGATATCTACTCCTTTGATTCAGAGCAGCAGTGCACAAACTTCATTAAAATCTGAATTCCAGCACAAGTAATTCTTCAGCAGAAATGTCTCTGTTTAAAAAAAATCAAAACTTAAAAGAAAAAGGTTTTTTTTCTACTTAAAAAGAATTTCATTGACTATTTGCTGTATGCTCACAGCATGAAAATAGCAATAATAAAAGATTTAAAAGTAAGGTTGTGAAACAAAGAACTGGGACATTTTAATTTAAATAAAAGGATACAATAATATGTATGTTTATTAATTTTTAAGTTAGAGGGAAAAGTGGTAGAGGCTAAATGTCATTATTCGAAAATAAAGAATGCAGGATGTATTCTAAATTGCTTTTCTTGGACTGTAGATTGTGGTTATGATTTGTCAGTATCACAAAGATTTTCTTTTTAAAGGATTTTGGGCATGCTATGTGATCTTTTTTCTGTGAGATACTGTTGCTGGTTTTGACACTGCTTCCTTGATTCTGGATTTGAATGTATAATTTAGGACACTTCTTAGAGAGCCCAACATCCTTTGATCTGT